ATGTCAAAAATGAAAACGCTCCATTTTACCTCTGGAGAACACTTCCAAGTATCAGTGGTAAAAATTTCAGTCCGATCGAACAAAGTTAGAAGGGGGTCGTAAGCAACCATGATTGAGAAAATTATGGTTTTGCGATACGCTAAGGAAAAGAAAATAATTTCCTTATGATGACTATGAAAAAAAAATTTCTTTAATTCAGTAACTCTGTAATAGTAAAGTATTTAGAGCCGGTTAATGTGTCTAATTGTACACAACACTTGAGGCTATGATATCTTATGCTCAATTCAAAATCAAGTTTTTGGTCGAAAAAGAGGGGGGGGGGGTACCCTTAATATGGAGAAATCGATCTAGTTTCCTTAAATACAGTGTTGTTCATGAAACTTCACATAAAAGAGTACTTATTGATTCATACCATGCTTTCACACAAAAGTCGATCTTTATATATCTTACCGATGTCATGCACAGTACAATCAAAAATAATGATTCTATTCGAAACGATAATGATACCTGATCACAGTATTAATTACTTACATGTATAACTCAATTGTTGCGTTGTATTCTTTTTGTGTTCAACTGACAATCTATTAAGATAGGCTGTTTAGGGAAAGTGTGAGTGTAATCTTTGCAAGCTTACAATGATCGGAGATTATTCTTTGCAGTGTCAGAATTCAGATTAGTTTATACTTTCTATTCGTCAGTTCTAATATGAAGATCATCATTAATAAGGCAATGGATCAGTTCAATCTTTTCGGGTGTTGTTAGGTTTTCAACATCTGCTTGGTCTTCATGAAGCCATTCATACCATTTTTAAACTGTTCTGAAAAAATGAAGCTTGTTTGCCAAAAATAGAATATAGTGTAGTACAGACTTAAATTCTCGATGTGAAAGTTTTCTTTATGCAACAAAATCAGAGGTGAACAGCTATGATCGAAATTCTAATATTATCATAGTAAATGAAGATTCATGAAATATTATAAACAACCATATGGACTATTAATATATATATATATATAGAAAGAGAAAGCTTTCTCAAGTCTTCTATAATGTAGCATAATTCTAGTACCACTACTTTTACTGTACTCTAAGTATATCATTTAAAAATAATTATAAACTCCAGATCTGAAAAACCTCTAATATACTCTCAATAATCATCAATAGATAGTGTTATTTTATCGATATCAATAAAAGCATCTGATTCAAATCCTTATTCTCATTTATATTGATCTTCACGTCTTTATGTAACACTACTACAAAAATGATATGATCTTCATTATTATTTGAAAAATCTAAAGATTTATCTTCTAACCATCATGAAGTTCATCGAACATTGTTTTAACGTATCATTCATTCACATCTAAAGAACAAATAGTATCGATATAATTTCGTTTACTTTGTTGTCATTGTCAATGAACAACTAGTAAATCTTTCACACATATCCAAAAGTATATCTTCAAATGGAAGGAATGATCTATCGGCTATCTTCATTCAAATGTCATCCTTCACAAACACTTACACGTCCTAACTTATCATTATTTATTAATCAACAATAATATCGATTCGACTCAATTCCATATTCATAAAAAAACATTTATTTTTCTCAATTTCAAATTCATTCATTCATGAATGGATTAACAAATATTTATCGTTCGATACTAACAATTGTTGTACAAAATTCTTCAATAACAATAAGTCAACCAAATATTCAGAAAGTATTAATTAACCATAAACTATTGCTGAATATGATTTTTATGATATGGATAAAATATCTAAACTTATTGCTATGCTATATAAAAACACATTGAAATACAAAGATGGCGCAATAAGGAATGATGAAAAGGAGGGTACTTCTTTCTTGTCTTTGAAAATTTTGACGGCACCTTTCTCTCATTTTGGAGGAGATTTCTGGTGAGGTTTTTTCCAGTTTGTAAAGATTTTATGTAATGGAACTATTTCATTAATGACATAGTGATCGAAATTACAAAAAAACTTGATAACGTCTCGCGACAAGTCGAAATGTTTTAAAATATTTGGAGTCTCTTGTGGGACATTAATTCAAAATCATAATTCGCATAACTCCAGTAAATACGCGATTTTTATCATCACTTTCGATAATTAGTGAACTGAAAAAGATTTTAAGAGTATTATGATCAATATGGGAATGATCCCCATTTTAGGAGCTTGCATCAATGTTCGCTATGCAGCAGATAGTTTGAGTTTTGTGTAAATTTATAAATATTTTCCTTACATCTACTCAGTTTCAACTCAGTCGAAACGCTATTGCGTGCCAATTGAAAGTTCCAAAAAAGCCAGATAGATAATAGATCGTCAGATACAGAACAATTGATAAGGAGTTTCTCCGCACTTATGAATCGCGTGTAAAACTTGCTCTCGTAATACTTAATCGTAAAACGAACAGTTTTCTATCAAATAAAAATGTCGCCGAGTTCTCGACGATGTTTCTTGGTTAAGTAACATCAGATTTATGGAAGACTTCCAACAGAATTTGTTCTCAAGTTGTTGTTCTTACAATAACAACTGGTGTGACTAAACTGCTATCACGAACAAATCACTTCATCCATACTCTTGATATATTGCAGATACCAATACTCTATTTTAATTATTGTTTTGCTTCAGTGTCTCGTCCACAATTGCTATGTTGAGTAAAGGGTTAATTAAAATTTCATCGAAATTCGGAATATGTTCCATTCTTCTATAAAAAAAAAAAAAACTTTCTTCGTTAACTATTCTAAATCAGTATCTTGCGCAAAATATTTTTTACCGATACATTTTATAAAATAAATATTAAATAGTTGTTGTTGGATTCAGATCAACATGGTATCAGGAATACTTATTAAAGATTTTGCACAGCTGATATTCTTATCAAAAAAAAAAGCAATAACAGATCCTATTTAATGCGTCCTCATGGAGCACATACTCGCTGTTCTTACTGCAGTTTGTGAGTAGATAAGGGTGTTGGCGCGTGTGGGTACAAATATTCGACTCACCTATTCCTACACCCACACTCGACAAATAGTTTGCTTCATTAGTTCTAACAAAAATCAATTATGCATGATTTGCTAATAATCGTTTATATTTTTGTTATGATTAAGAGCTGTTTGTTCAGTGAACAATGACAAATTCGCATACGATAGACCAGCAAATGACCGTTTCTTGTATGTAGAATGTGCATTGTAAGCGATGTAATGCACCTGAGAAGAGATATTAGTAAATGGCTCGAGTACTTTTCTTTTCTGTGCGACCATAAGGTTTGATAGCCCTAAAATTTTGTCTCCTAGTTTTGGCTCTAGACAAGTTTTGAATCAGTTAATATCTCTAGTGGTTTTTCAGAGCCGAATCAGGGAGTAGTCATTTGGAGAAAACGTACAAAACATTTTCCCATGAAAATCATATTTTTCTAAGGAATGGGCGTGAAGTAAGTTCTATTCACCGATCCAAAAAATACAACCTATAAAAATTTTTGAATTTATTGATTTAGATTAAGGTCAATTGAAGTTTCTAGAGAATTCAATGTTGCATCTTCTGAGAGAACACTTAGGAACATATTTTATTTCTCAGCTCGAATATTTTCTAAATCCAGCAAACACATTACATTCAAAAGAGCGATTTGAAAGATATATTTATTTCTAAGAGTTCATCATCTCAAGCGTAGACGTGTTTTTCAATGTACTGAAGTAAGGCTACTAGGCCAGCCAATGTTTCCTCACCAGTTGGAATGATTTGGTTTTCTGGAAGCAAAAACCCATATTTACCTATTGAACAAGGATTCGATAGCAGTTCGTTAAACTTGAATAATTACACTTACCAGTATCACGAAGTTCGACACCGTAACTAAATGTTACATTGGCTGTACCATAGGTCCAATCGGCTGTACTACCCGATGCAGCGTAGATAATTTGAGCAATAGTGCCATGCTGGTACCGGGTACCTTTAGTATTAAAAAAAAAATAATTCTGAAACAATGAGTATTTCGTATTAGACGAACCATGCACGGCAGTGAGTGCGGTGATAGCTTGAATAGATCCATCATCTTGTAATTTGAATTGTGGTGGTATCAAAGTTGTATATGCTAAAGAGAAATATTAGAAAATGAGATTGAACAATCACAATCGAAGCTTACACCATGGTGACATCCACAATTGTGAGTACGAATGAAAATTGATATAGTGCACAATTGTACCCTGTTGATTAGTGATAAATTTTGCTACTTGAGCTGTTTCAATTTCAGAAAATGCTTTTTCGCCACAGAAAGTGTCTGCACAAGGATCAGACGAAGCACCGCCTAAAATTAGTTATGTGAAAATGAAGGCAGTACAATGAGCAAACGACAAATTCACTTTCACACCAATGATAATCCCAATTACGGTTCGGATCAGCACCATAACAGAGCGGAACCGATGTTTTGCTGCGAGTCTTACGCCATAATCGATCTTGAAAAAAAAAATAACAAAATTTGAATAGGAATATACTTCTTTGATGTTAACTATTACCTTTTGCCCATGTATATGCATAACCATCAACATTGAACACAGGCAAAATATAATAATCAAATTGATCAACTAGATGCGTGATGGTCGGATCTTGGCCATACTTTGATAGAAGATTATAGGCAATGTAGATGACCGTTGCCGGACTGATCCATTCTCGAGCGTGAATTCCTACATTACATAGGAATACAGTCGAAAATAAACATGATTCAAAAAACAAAGAATCACATACCTCCATCCCACCAGACAGCCTTTTTCGTGGTGGCTTTGGTGCCATCACGCTTAGTTGCCATCTTCTTTGATGAAATTTTGAAGCCTTTCATGTCTCTATTTTCGTATGATTTCCCGACGGTAAACGGTGTGACTATTTCCGGATAAGTCGCAACGATTTGATCAACCCATGCATGAATGTCTTCAACGGTGTGATACTTATCGTAGGCAAAATCATTCGGATTCGATGATGATGGAGGTAAATTTTGTAAAATTCGTTGCCTTTCAATTATTGCACCAATATCAGCCATGTGCACCACATGTTTGATTTTCACACCGTCCGATGTCAAGAAATCAGCAAAACCATCGATTGCTTCAGGTGGTACACGAACATCAATCTATTTCAGAATGAAAAGGTCATCAATTGTAATGAAGGAAAACATGTTTGAATAAGAACTTACTGGTTCATGAATGCGAAAGTGTTCTGACCAAAAGTTGATATCATGCAAGTGAGCTATACGACTGAAAGCGAGTATTTTAGCAAGCTGTTCTCTGTTAGTGACATGCAGACGCCACAGCTGGTGATTTGCGTACGATCTAGTATAGTTTGCATTTACAAGAATTACCATGGATAGAACAAGAACGATGAGAGAAGCAGAGTATATTCTCATCTTCATAGATGGAAATTGACCTATGGAAAATAAGAAAAGTGACAAAAAATGACTGTCTTTGCTACCTTTATAGTGACAGAGATGGTCGAAGAAAGATAATAGAGACAAAAGATAGGATTCTTTTTTTTGCCCTTGTCATCCTTACCGATTGCAAACACAAAACGTGACTTGATATTATGCAGTATAATGTATGATCAGCATGACGAATTGCGTAGTATCCAATCGTTCGTAAAAGTGTCATATTTTTTTTAGCCAAAGATGATAGAACAGATCTGCTTAAGTTTATTTATGTCGGTTAGAGTAAGATAAAACGCAAATACATCCCTTCAACCAACTAAAATAAGTCGACGAAACCACCGGGAAACCCTACTTAGTATTGTTGAGGCTCATTTTGAGTTTTATAGAAATCAATGGAATATTTTCAAAAAAAATTTCGTGAACATCCGATGCTCTAAAGCAACTACAATGCTAACTAAAATAACATATTCATGGCCAACGCGATACCTTGGTACCGGCACAACATTCCGAAATATTTTACGGCAGTGTGGGTGAAGATATTCATATGACTGAAGATAACATGTACGTCCCACACCCACACCCACACTGACACCGAAACTAATTTAAAATAAATAGGAGAAAAATTTTATTTGATTATCATAAAAACTTCTTGCACTCTGTTGATGCCAGACTATTAAAATATGATAAAGCTGTCTTCATATTAAATGACTAGTATAACGCTCCAGAATTTAATGAAAACAACTCCTTTTCTATGATCAATTTTTCCATAAAAACATTTGGAACGTAACGTGAAGTGGATGAATATTGATATGGGTCTGATGGCTGTGGAATGAGAGGGTGCATACCAGGAACAGGACTTTCTATCCTTCTGAAGTCGTTATAATTCGGTCAAATGAAATGAAAATTTTAGTGCATCAATGTTGACCATTTTCCTATTGAATCTTGATTTAATTTCAACTTTAGAGCAAAATGAATATTATATTCATAGTCAGAATCAAAAAACTAAGTTATGTCATATATATTTCAGCAAAAATAATTTTTTACGAAAAATGCACTCCAAGGAGACCACGGGAGAAACTTGAGAAAAAAATTTGAAGAAAAGGACCACATCGACTTTTCCCATAAAAAATGAGTATTGTTTAAATGTGTGTCATAAAGCGTATTTTTTTTATTGGCGGGCCGACCCATTCAGCGAGATATAACAATTGTCACACATTGTGCCCATGTAATAATATTCGAACAATCATAGGGCTCGAATACTACGTGGACAAATTTTTATTTTTGAATTCGAGGTCGACCCGCCAATGTATCTTTTTTTGTCTTGATTCCGAATATGTTACACATTTTGCATTGAAGTTGAAAATGGATTCAAATTCAATAGGAAAACAGTCGACAGTAACTATTACAGTATTCCAGAAATGGGCACTTTCTTAAAATGTTTCGATAAGAATGAGTTTTAGGACAAAATAGATTATTTTTAAAACTATATAGGATGGTACAGCGTGAGATCATATAGTTTTTGATCATAAAGATTTTTCGGACTAATTTAGCATTTAAATATAAAACTATGAAAATTTGTCTATGTGATACGAAAATACCATAAAGTGTACCTGTATAATCGTACATAATCTCAGACAGGGCCTAATGGTCAATATGATCACCATGTTTATTTGTAGAACATGAGAAACTGCATCGATCTATACTATTGGTTTTCATATTGAGTTTATAACAGAAATATTACGAATATCATAGTTATTATTCGAAACGATCAAAAGTCATAGGCTCCCTAAGATTATTTAGTCCACGAAAATTCATTTTTGCATTCGAAAAGACAAAAAAATAAAAGACAGAAATGTACAAAATCTTTTGCGGTGTCCTTTGACAATCTGAATTCATTTATTAAAAAACTGTTTTGATACTGAGAAACGAATTACAAACTTGTCGAGTACCAGATGATTGGCTAGAAAATAAATGGATATTTTTAAAGTGTTGAGTAAATGGGATTCATTTATTGTTATTTGCAGCAGAAAATATTTTATACTTTCCGTTCTAATTTTCTTCTTGTTGGATAATCATAAGTAATCTGTTGTTTTAATATTATTTCTCTACGAAAAGTCAGAAGAATTAAAATATCAATATTTTCTTTAATATTCTCTCAATAAATATGACATTTTTCTTTGTGAATTATTAAATAGAATACAAAAGTATAATTTCAAGTAAATTAATTTATTAATTATAAAATATTCCTAGTGAAAAAAGGGTTTAAAATTCAATTAAATATTCATTTATTCATGTTGTATAAAAGAAAAAGAAGTATTGGGTCAAATATTAAATATCTAGGAATTGACATAGTTCAAATACTTATCTTAATATATCATCTATATAGGAGCTATTTGAATATCATCAGTATTCATCAAAGAAAGTAACATTTTTATACCCTAATCAAATAAAATAGACACAAAGTGGACTCGTTGGGTATAAAGAGTCACTGTTACATGACTAGATTAAATAAAAAGATAGAAAAGAAAATTAGGAAAACACATAATAATATGACGAAAAATATATCCAAAAAATACATCAAAGAATAGAAAAAATCTCTTTATGTGTCTGCTTATTATTATTAAATTGATAGACAATATACATCGATTGTCATTGAAGAATAAAAATACAAAATCAATTAACCTGGATTTTGAGTTTTTATATATTCAAGTGTAAGAGTTCCTCCGAACTTTGTTATAGAATGAGAAACTATAAAATATAGTACTTTTTCCGAGTGGAATATACGTTTGATAATTTCGAAAAGTTCTAAATTCTTTAAAAAAATATTTCTTTTCCTTATCTTAATTGACAAGTGTCATATGAATTAAAAGTCAACTTTGTCCAGTATTAGTGAGAAACATGAAAAATGTACCATATGTTGATAATTATTCTTAGTCAGGTTATTGTACAAATACAAAATACATATACATAGAACTGATAGCGAATTGGTGTACACATCAAGAAAAATTTTACAAGTATTTAATAATGATTCCTATTGATCGAATATGATTTTGATAAAATATTATTCGATTATTTGTTAATCAAAACAAACTGTTGAATAGTTTTATGTGTTAAAAACTTGAGAACTTGTCTGTTAACTGACTGAGGAAGAACGAGATCATCTATAAGATATCATGCCAGTTAGAATTATTTGTTAAAGCAAGCAGATGTACGAATTTGATGTTATCTATTTTCGCCAATTTAATTTTTTGTTTGAGTTATGCATAGATGATTGAATTATCTGTTTTTATAAAATAAGGTTTTACATTAACAATCAATTTCTTAATAGTTCATTTATCCGATAATATTTTATACTAGTAAAGACGAGATTACTGCAAGTTTTGCTATTGATTTCCTATCTCAGATATAGTTTTGATTCATTGTTTTTCTATTCTATGATCGAAAAATTTCTTTGCTTGATCTCATCATATGATCCGAATGATTTTGGTTAATATGACCTTGATTATAACATGTGTCAGATATTTGCACTGCTCAAGCCTTTGTTATATTTGCTATTAAGCTTTATTTCTAGGACTTTTTTGAAAAAAAAACATATAAATCAAACTTTGAAAGTTAAGATAAAGAGTTTTATCGTTGAGAGATTCTTCCTTTGTATAAGATATCGTTCATTTTATTACCTGATTTTTATGCTCATTTATTAAGTTTATAAATTATCCTAATAACAAATCAACCTGATTCAAAACGAATTAAATTTCACTGTAACGAGCACGATATTCAAAAATTACAAAACAGGTTACAATTGAAGCAAACACCCTATAAGTACCTGTGTAGGCTTCGTTATATATTGCTTAATCAAATACTCTTTCGTAGTATTTTCAACTCTATATTGTTGTTCATATGCGAGTGTTGAAAAATAAAAAAACTATTTTTTAAGAAATATTATAGTGTCACTAATATAGGAAAAATTGACGAAAAAAAACATTTCTACAACTACCGATAGATATGATCGCCTAGCCATTGCTTCATATTTTAAGGCATAGTACATATATCTGATATATGCCAAAACTGAAGTTCTGAATTCACCTATTGAAAGTCTTTTCAATTATTCAGTTCAGATATTTAGCGCTTGAAGCCATGGCGAACAGTCTACAGTACAATATACTTTTGAAAGAAAATCACTTTGTCAATTATAGTCTCAAGAAAAGCAACATATTAATCTCATGGTTTATGATTGTATATATGAAGCAGTGAAAAATAAGGTGGGCACCCATCTAAAAAAAATCAAGATTTTCATTTGATATTCAAATATAATGGCACTAGATTTATGAACTTATCAGTCAGTGTGTTTCAAAAGAAATGTTCTTGACTTGTTTATGTCGAAAGGGGTCTTATATCATGTCTACACATTGTGTTACCTACACTGCATTGAGTCCAGTAACTTAGGACAAGTTTTAAGATACTTGTGAAACATTTCATCATCAATCTAAAATGAGAGACTACTGTAACTCATTTTTTGAGATGCATAGGATTTTTCTAAAGTTCCGAGAAAATTTTTATTTGTATTGTATATTATGAAAGTATGATATCTTTTATAAGATTAATCTAAATACATCTCAATATACATTACTTTATAGTTGGATTAATTTTCTCTAACGACTTTATTCGCAAAACATAATTGTATCACAGATGTTGTGATACAAATTCCTTAACATTAAATAACTGCTCAGTGGATCATTTTTCTGACAGCGGACCTGTTCGAAATATATAAAACTATCTCTCTTGATATTTGCTCGTGTATCTAACTTCCTAACATGAATTGATTCGTCGACAGATTCATTCTACATATAGCAGGATCGATTTATATCGATAATGACTGCTCAATTCATACATCAACAGCCTGCCACACAATACGGTATTTCACCAGGTTTACTATACGAATGTACCACACCATGACCCAGACTCATACCCTCAATTCTTAATAAATTCTGCAACAAAAGCATATACCAGAGTTATCTATCAAGACTAGAAATAGAAATAAACATCGCGGTTAATTAAAAAACCAAGCAAGGCCTAAAAACATAAGTCATGGAAGCTACTCTCCTAATCTTGCACAGGCTATTTCGCAATAGAAAGCACCAGTGATAATAAGTGTGTGCGATATTTTTTCATAGAAAAAAAAACATGCTTTATTGACTAATCCTACATTCCGTTATTTTTTTTTCTTTCGGCAGAGCCATTTTCTTCTAGCTTATAAAAAAGAAGCAAGAACGAAATAAAAGACAGTAAGGTCATATACTAGAGGATGAAAAAAAAAAGTATTTAGTATCTGATGACGACAAGACCACCGAATCCGAATCCGTTACTGAAAGCTAGCAAGTGTTCACGTCTATTTCTAGAGTAAGTAACTTTGTTGTTTGTCTAAACAATTGTAGGAAACAATAAATTCGTAGATGGGTATCTCCATTGGTTTCAAAATGTCGCAAACAAGGTACACTTGATATTAACGATCTCTATGAACCATTTCCGGATTGCGAATCAGCAACACTGACGGATAAACTCGAAGCAAACTGGATTGCTGAAATTAAACGAAATTCTGGCAAACCAAGTCTAATTCGAGCTACATTACGAACTATGAGATGGAGACCATTCCTCATTAGTCTTATTCTTATTCCTTCCGTAACTATAATATTCTAATCGATCATTCTCATTGCGTAATTCATATCTTATAGGAACTTCTCAAAATTATTCAACCACTCTTGCTTACATTGCTGATGGGATTCTTTGAACCATGTTCTACGATGTCCGCTTAGAATGCCTGGCTTCTAGCCATGAGTATAATTTTTGTCACATTTTGCTCTAGTATTATTTTTAATTATGTATGTATTGTTTTTCTTTTCGTGCACATTCTCATTGTATTTGCCTAGGAAATTTGCTTAACTAATAATTTGGCTCTATAAATGCGTGTTACCTACAGTGGTCTGATCTTTCGAAAAGCAAGTATCAATATGTGAGAAATGATCAATTAAGTTTTTAAGTTTGAATTGTTAGGTATTCCGTTTGTCAACTCATGCATTTAATAGTATCAGTTCGGGTGAAATCACCAACCTATTATCGAATGACGCCACTCAAATTGAAATGATCCTCTTTTTCATTCACTATTTGTGGGTATGCTAACAACTTTGTAGAGTATCTTATCTATGTAGATCATTTGGTTATTGAAGTCGAAAACGTTCTTATTACTTTTTTTCTACAATCTATTAGACCAAATGCATGTGTGAGACAAATAGTATCCGTTAGAAATGTTACGTTAGCTTCCTTTCTCCATGTAAGAAATACAAATCATTGATTAGAATTGATATCTATATCAATAAAAGATAGCTGCTGAAAAGATACTTTTTTGAATTGAAGAGAAATGATTCTTTTATGGTTCAAGTGTTTTGATTATTCTTCAATAGTAGTGGATTTGCTTGTCTTCTAATCAGTTTTATATTTTTACGAAAGTTTTTACTGTTTCCAATATATTGAAAAAGGTATATATTGATAATTAGATCTTCGCTCTGATTCACACAAAATATCTAGAGAAAAGAAGACCTAGTCTAGGGTCACATAGAAGCTGCGTATTGTAAAAACGTGAATCACTTACCCGTTCAAAAATAAAACATTATTTACCTTTTAGAATAGTAAAAGATTGTTTCATTGATTTTTTTTCGAGACTTTACGGATTTAAGAGGAATCAAACAAACAGTTTTTGTCTGTTTTGAGCGATACTCTAGGTATCCTTATCGACGGAATATTGAAAAAGAGTACATATTCGAAATAGAGTTTTATATTTAGCTCAACACCTATTACATCATAGTAGATCGAACCCTGAAACTTATGAGATATCGACTCGGTGTATATTCTATCATTTTCAAAAATGACTTCGGCTACAAATGAAACAGGTCACTGTTTTTATACAAATTTTCACTGAACAATATTTTCTTCCTCATGATGTCTCGGCAATTTGCATTACTTCATGTCTTATAGCTGTGCATTAGTGATCGCTATGAAGAGTATTGAAAATTGCTAAGAAATGGACATGATATCGTACAGAAAAACAATCATTATTGTATGCATTTAGAATAATGCCATAAGTGTCTGTTATTTTTGTATTCAACTAGAACGTTTCTAAAATGTTTCTAACATTTATTCAATGCAATATTGGAGTCGTGTAGAGGATTTCGGTATAATTATGGAAGACTTCTTTCAGATTCTCAGTGTTTGTCTTAGTAAGCACGTAGCAATAATCTCACGGATAACGTTCTAAGAAGAAACTTTTGTTAAATTTAAGTCTTCAGCACAAAAGCACACCATATGAAAAAATCTATGCACATTTTCAGAATACGAAATCGAGGATTTTCTAAACTGTCATATTTCTGGATGATTCTTTATCATTTTTCACTAAAGATCAAAGACATGTTACTCTCGTTGATAGCTTGCTCCACTTGAAATCGTTATTCTCATCTTGCTATTTTGGCATTCTGTCAAGCAAGTTTCTTTAATTGCCATCAGCTACACTTTTGTACTTTTGGCTATTCAGAGTGTCTTCAGTCATTTCATACTTCATTTTCGGTTTGTATTGTTCGTAAAGTATGACTTTATTGCTAACTGTTTATATTCATCATAGAAATAATATTTTACAAGTAACAGACCAACGTGTAAAGATTATGTCTGAAATAATTAAATCAATACGTATTGTTAAAATGTATTGTTGGGAAATGGCATTTGATAAGAAAATTCGTCATGTAAGAAGGTAAACTGTTTTTTTTTCTTTTCATATGGATCAAACTAATCTATCAAATGGAATTTTTCTTTAGATGTGAAACTATTCAATACATGTTTAGTTTGATATTCGATTGTGTTCAAATGCTCTTTTCACATACATACATCAATGTAACATTTTTGATGATGTATGGAACAATGTGGTGGCTCAACATTCGATTTGATATACGCTTCTTTGCAGTTGCATCATGTCTACTTGGTCATATGAGATTGACTGTTGTCGAATTTTTTAATAATGCTGTAAAAGATCTTGTTCACTATATGGCTGCTCAAAAAAGGATACAGGTTAGTTTTTGTATTTTTATTGATGGATCTTATGAAATTGTATTCATCATAGTCATTTCTGTTACTTGACGAATCCGAACGAGATAATCGATTATTGTCACGCTCCCATTCAGAACTTACGTGTATCGAAAAAGATGATCCAACAATACTGAAAAATATTCCAACGCAATCACCGAAAGTTGTATGCAACTTGGAACGAGCACAATGGGAAAAGGTATAATTCTACGTAAGACGATGAAGAATAGTTGAAAGTTTTGCATTTGGAAGTTTCTAAAAATGCCATGACTTTCTTCAGCATACATACTGGGAAACTTTATAATTATTCCCACAATATTTCATGTGCCTGATATATCATGGAGAATAATTTATTTGTCAAATTTTTGAGGGAATTCGATAGAGCCTTGATGTGTATAGACACACTATTTGTGAGAAAAGACTCAATTTTAGTTTGTTCTATCTACTATAGTGCAAAATGGTGCAAACTTTGTTTTCTATGCTTCCACTTTTCACAAATAGAAACCTAGATGATTGAATTTTCTCAATATTTAATGAAATTTAGCTCAAGGCTCATATACTGATAGTTTCATGAATTGCTCTTAGTCGGATTGGTCCGTAGGCGGCAGCGCCGTTGCACAGCGAAATCGGATTTTTAGGGAGTTTTTCCAAAATATAAGAGGAAACAGAAAAACATTTTGAGCCGACTTCACAAGAGTCTGTATCCAAGTTCATTAATACAAAAATATGATGTTCTTTTTTCCAACTTTTACCGTGGGTCATTGACTTGGAACATGGCAGACAGATAATTGCGCTTTACTATAGTAGAATAGATAAAGAATCGTAGCTGGGACATTGCAAAGAGAAAACTATTGAACATGTATAATTCATATGTACGATGCAATAATATAGTGAATTTTCACCATATATCGGCATGGATTCAGATTTCTTTACGAAATCGGCGTTTTTTCTGGATATTTAAATCTTTCTTACATAATGACGCATTACTTTTCACTTTTGAATTAGTCGAAATTTGAAAAATTCAACAAATATTGATATTCTACTATTTAGAATGGATCATTTTGTCTGAAAAATATTGTATTTGATGCTCATCCAGGTGATTTGATTTGTATTATTGGACCTGTTGGAGCTGGAAAAGTTTGTTTATTTTCTCAAAAATCAATGTTCATAAATCTTCATATATTTAGAGTTCTCTTTTGCAAACACTCACTGGTGAAATTGCAATTTTTGATGGAAAAGTTCGAATGTATGGTTCATTTTGTTATGTACCACAAGAATCATGTAAGTAATATTGATTGATATAAGAAAATTTTTCTACTTAATTGAATTAGGGATATTTTCTTCAACTATTAAAATGAATATTCTTTTTGGCAAAGCATATGACCATAACTTATTTTGGACTGTTGTTAAAGCAACTGCACTTGATACAGTAAGTAGAATCAAATATTTGACATAACATATATATTTATAATAAATAGGATTTTGTTCAATTACCTGATGAGGAAAATACTCTTGTTGGTGATCAAGGTATTATGCTATCAGGAGTGAGTAACACATTGTTTGATACAAGACTGAAGTAGATGATTGCTAATCATGTAGGGTCAAAAGGCACGTGCTAGTATGGCCCGAGCACTCTATCGAAATGCAGATATTTATCTTCTTGATGATCCTTTATCTGCTGTTGATGTCAAAGTAGCTAAACATCTCTTTCAAAAGTAAATCAAATTTACATAATATTGAGATTTATCAAACAATTTTCTCTCATAGATCTATTAAAAACTATCTTGCTGACAAGATTTGCATATTAGTTACACATCAAATTCAATTCTTACAAAATGCAACTAAAATTATTGTACTCAATAATGTATGATTTATAATCGTTTGAAGTCTTTTTTAATGAGTTATTGAATATTGTTTCAGGGTGAAATGGTACAAATTGGTAGTTACACTGATCTGCTTGCTTCATCATCATCGTTTGCTCGTTTACTTGATGATATTCATCAATTTGAACAACAACATTCTATTGAACTTCATCAACAACAATCGATTATTAGTTCCACTTCTTCAGATGTTGATGAGGAAACATTAGCACTTTCGAAAAATGTTGAAACAAAACATAAGGGTATAGTCAAATGGCATGTATATGTTGCATATTTAAAGGCTGGTGTTGGTATTATTATGGGTTTGTTCATCGTCCTTATTGTGTCATCTGTGAGAGAAGCAACATCAATATTCTGTAGTTGGTGGTTAGCAAAATGGAGTGATGATGAAAGTTATCGATATCGAATTTTGAATAATTGTACAAGTGTTCAAAATACTAATAATACGGTATGGTCTATGAATAATACAGAATGGAATAATCATCGAAATCGACGATTCTACATTTATTGTGGTTTGTATTTAAATAATGATCGAATTGTTTGATATGTTAAAATTCATTTATAGTACTCGTACTCATTTTTGTGCTTATAACTCTTTTCCGCTCAATTATCACTGAATTCATGTGTTTAAATGCTGGACGAGTACTTCATAATAAGTAAATATTTGTGTTCGAAATGATTTTTCCATGTTAGGATTGTGTTTATTTGAATAGAATGTTCCGACGATTGATCCGATGTCCCATTGCTTTCTTTGATACAAATCCTGTTGGTAGGTAAAGTAGGAGCAAAACTAATTTCATTTTTTTTTACATGTTCATGAGTATTGAATGACTTTCCATGATTTTATTTTACTGGTTCTATCGCTCATTCTGAGTGACCTGCACATCCAAACAAAATACCAATGAGCCATCATACCTAGAAAAACTCAATCATATTAAAAGTAAAACTAGCTGAATTTCTACCAGTCAAAAGAAGTATAATCGTCATTTTTCATAGGTACAACAACTTTTTGTATATTTCTAAACCGTTTCAGTCACATGACTATGCTAATGCATACTTTAGACGACACAAGGGAAAACTTTGTAATGACTATATAATAATGGGGTGTTTTTACTAGTGTTGTGTAAAAGGATTGTAAGAGTTTGTATTCTAAGATTCATCTTAAATTTATCTTGTAATGAGATTAAAATAATTCGAGAATATGTGAAAATTTCTACAATATCTAAGTCTAAAAGAATGACGACGATAAGTTTTTTTCATATTTCCTAACTCGAATATAGCATTTATAAAAAAGTGTAGTTCCCAAATCAAAGCCAATCATACGACAGTAAAATTCAATTCAGAAATGATATAAATAGAAAGAGTTGATTTATTTTTGTATCGAATAGAAAAGTCGGTCTGATATGAAAACCATGGTTCAACAGGTTGTTGTAGATTGAGGTAGAGAAAAAAGTTTCTGTATCGAATGAAACAGTTTTCGATGCAATCGACCATCTTCGAATCTTGAAAAAATGACTCGAATTTTCAAGACGCAACATTCTCAACTCATTCATAGCTTTTAAAAGGAGCTTTGTTTTTATCAAATAGAACTTGCCAAGAATTGAAAAAGGTTTCTTGTGTTTACGCCCGTTTTTTTATCAGGCTCTTGAACTGTGCGAAAATATGAAAGATTGATAAAGCTCTGAACCAAAATCAAACTATTTAACATTTCATGAGATATCTTTGCCCATTTCCAAGAATTTAGTCAAATGACTAAAACTCAAAGAAAAGTATCAGAGCATAAAGTATATTAAGATTATTCTAATCTTATCAACTCCTTTTCAACGAGCAAAGTTGTATTTTAACAACGAAGAATTAAAAGTGAAAGCGTATCAACGGTCATAATAAAATCTTTCCCTCTTGACTGATTCCTCAACTTTCAATTTTATCATATGGAAAAAGAGAGAGATATCACATCTTGAATGGTCCCTTCCTATTTTTTAAACTTGACAAATATTTGTGATTCTTTAGAAAACAGTACTTGTTCGTTTGTATACATATGTACTGTTTTAGGACGAATATTGAACCGTTTCACTAAAGATGTGGCTACCATGGATGATCAACTGCCGCTCGATATTTATGAATTTCTCCATGTAAATCGTTAAAGTCTCATTGTTTTTGGCATTGCTTTGCTGTTCAGTGTTGCTTTTTCGTTCTAGCAACAGTAGTCCTAGTTGGTATGCTTAATCCATGGTCATTCATACCAGCAGCCATATCACTGATTGGTTTACTATTAGTACGTCACTATTTTGCACCATGTTCCCGTGATTTGAGACGTCTTGAAAGTATTACACGTAGTCCTGTGTATTCCTATTTGACATCGACCATTCATGGTCTTAAAGTAATTCGATCCTATCATGCAGAACATATGTGTTCAACTGAATTTTCTTCTCATCTCGATGATAATACACGAGCAAACTATCTTATCTATGCCACTAATCGTTGGGCTGCACTTCGCTTCGATTGGGTAGCACTTGTTTTCATTTCTTTGGTTACAATGCTCTTAATGGCTCTACGTGTCACTGGATATCGATATTTTTCAACAGCTGATATTGCCATGACACTCTCATATAGTCTTAGTCTAATGGGACTTCTACAATGGACGATTAGGTAATGATTAAAAAAACAAATTTGATTTTAATTTCAAATTATTGTAGAGTATCAGTCGATTTGGAAACAAGAATGACTTCAGTTGAGCGTGTACTCGAATATTGTTCTCTTGAGCAAGAACCTCCAGCTCAAGTTCCACCGAATCGTCGACCACCATCAAATTGGCCATCTCATGGTCGAATCGTATTTGACAATGTTTCCATGTCTCATTCATCTGATAATCAGTCGTTACTTGCTCTACGTCAAATTTCGATGACGATTGAAGCTGGTGAAAAAGTGGGTATTGTCGGAAGAACAGGTGCTGGAAAGAGTTCATTAATTCAAACATTGTTTCGCATGGGAACACTTGTTAATGGTCAAATTAAAATCGACAATATTGATATTGCATTGATTGGATTAGATGATGTTCGAAGTCATATTTCAATTATTCCACAAGATCCTGTTCTTTTTACAGGTACTATGCGAAGTAATCTCGATCCATTCAGTGAATATTCAGATGCCGAAATTTGGCGCGTACTTGAACAGGTCTTTATAGTATATTCTGTTTAATTATTCATAAGTTAAACTCATTTAAGGTACAATTGAAAACATTAGTTGCTGATGAAATGCCGAATGGACTTCATTCCATAGTGAATGAAGGTGGTTCAAATTTGAGTGTTGGTCAAAAACAACTCGTATGTTTGGCAAGAGCTATTCTAAAAATGAGTAAAATTCTTGTGATCGATGAAGCAACTGCCAATGTTGATAATGTGTAAGTAAAATAACTCTTTATCAAAGCTATTGACTAATGAAATATAATGTCTAGTACTGATGAATTAATTCAACGAGCCATTCGTGAAAAGTTCAAAGAATGTACAGTTCTTACTGTAGCTCATCGTCTAAGAACAGTGATTGATAGTGATCGTATTCTGGTAAGATGATGATTCAAATTGAAATTTTCCTTTTCAATGGTGTCTGTATTGTGAAGGTCCTTGGTAATGGTGAATTGCTCGAATTCGATTCACCCAAAGTTCTTCTCTCGAACTCAACTTCCTATTTTGCTTCGCTCGTCGAACAAACAGGTATAGCTGAGGCCGAACATCTCCGAACATTAGCAAATATGAAATCAACAAGAGACAATCACGATCTGGATGAAGAATCATTATCAGAGACTAAAGAAACTGATCCTCTTCTGACATAGATTTTATGTATCTAAATATCATTGAATCCAATGTAGGCAGTTCTTTATCAGTTGTTATTATGATTTCGTCAACTCTGTCAATGTATGACAAGCGAAGAAAGCTTGTATGAAGCTTTTTCTTATTTGTTATATGATAAAATAAAAAGTCTTGATTTTTAGACAGAAACAAAATTCATAGAATAGGTTAAGCACAGAATTTTCAGATTTCATCTTTAATAATCGTTATACTGTATAAGATATCGATGGGAAACTGACTTTATAGTTCAGCAAAAAAAACTAGAAAAAGTGTTGCAACATGTTGCAAACGCTTTGCAATGCAGTCAAAAAAGGATTAAAATGTGAAACATGATAGAGCCATTTCATTTGGCGATGAAGAGACCAAATCATTGACATCGAGATGTGTATGTGGATGTGAATAAAGAAAAGACCAAAATCTACGCTTACACCCACAAGCATCGAAAATTATCTGGACTTCTATGACTTTTATCGTGCCACATCAAATTTTGAAAAAAAAGAAATAATTCTACATCAATATTTTTATAATTCGATAGTTTGAAGTTTGTTCTATCACTCAAGTAAAATTGAGAAAATTTTATCTAAATTTTCTAGATTTATAATTGTCTTTCGAGAACAATTATATATTTTGGATAAAAAAACAAATTATTACTAATTTTTGAGACAAAATGTGATCTATTTTCGAATTCATCTTTTACTTTACATAAAAACATTTGAAGAAATACTGCATCCGTTGGGGTAAAACGTTCTCTACACTATTGTATGGATTATAATAGGATAGAGTTTAAAATAAAAGTTAAACATTAACGTTTGTTATCATTTATTTAAAGAAAAAAAAAACAATGAAACTTTATTTTTTAAAATTTACACGTATTTAAATAATTCATCACCATCTATTCTTACATTATCTTATTGAAATGATAAATTGTAGCACGAGAATTTTATCAAATTATATTTTAAAATTAATTTTTTCTTCTAAGTATAAGAATATTGATGTAGAATTATTTCTTTTTTTTTTCAAAATTTTATCTGGCACGATAAAAGTCATAGAAGTCCAGATAATTTTCGATGCTTGTGGGTGTAAGCGTAGATTTTGATCTTTTCTTTATTCACATCCACATCCACATCTCGATGTCAATGATTTGGTCTTTTCATCGCAACATGAAATGGCTCTATCATGTTTCACATTTTAATCCTTTTTTGACTGCATTGCAAAGCGTTTGCAACATGTTGCAATACTTTTTCTAGTTTTTTTTTTACTGAACTATAAAGTCAGTTTCCCATCGATATCTTATACAGTATAACGATTATTAAAGATTCATATTTCAGAAAGATGAAGCAGCGAGTTTTACGAGTGTATACAAAAATAAGTAACCTTGGATGGCTTAATACGATACCAACCGTTTTCTTTGGATATTCGTTTGTTCTTGACTTTCACTTATCATGCTTGTCAATTACATTTTGGATTCACTTTCTTAGTATCATGTTAGACAAATATTTGTTCTTAGTATTATTTTTTAATTCTTCTAAATCCTTACTTTAAAATGGACTGTAGTTTTCAAGAATAGAATATTCAATCAATCTATTGAATATATAATTATCCACAAATCCGTTGAACATGTTTTTGTTAGTTGAATTCAACAGAATAATTTTTACACTATTTTTTTTATTTTCAATTATTCAATCGGAGTGATTGCTGTGAGTGTAACACAAACTTCTCCAAACATGAACTCTAGTCAAATGGTAATGGAAATAGAAGAAGTATTTGAGGTAGGATTAATAAATATGTACAAATATAAAAAAACGAATCATTCGTTCATTGTTTTCTATTTAGGGTGTTACAACTGATTTTCAGGTTCTTGTAAGAGCATATTTGACTAGAATTCCGTGTGGTTTTGGTACTCTTCCAATAGATGCACGTTCCACTCATATGTATACTAGAAGTACACTAGATATTGAGAGAGATCGTCTGGTACTTCGACAATTAGCTGCAGCTAAGAGTTTTGCTTAAGGGTACCCCCCCCTCTTTTTCGATCAAAAACTCGATTTCGAGTTGAGCATAAGATATCGTAGCCTCAAGTGTTGTGTACAATTACACACATTAAGCGGCTCTAAATACCTTAC